CAGCCTTCGTAGGAAAAAAAAAACGGAAAGGCATTAGCAGTGTCAAATTCAATCCGAGAACAGTCCAAAGCGCAACAAATCAGAATCAACATTGAAATCGATTTGCTTCTGAACGACGCTAACCGGAAATCTCCGTTGACGATGAGGCAAATGAATATGATGGAACTTTAATAATAATGATTATGATGGTGACCTATATTTTAGCGCTCCCGACCTGCAGAGGTCAGCGGCGCTCATACCATATCACATCCAGCCACGGTAGGTTTAGCGTCGTATCACGCTGCGATCAGGTGCGTCAGAGGTCTCCAGTCTGCTCTCTGCCGGCCCGGCCCTCTCACGTACCGGGGACGGGGAGCAGCGGGAGCGCGTACCCAACCCGGACACCGGCACAGTCGGGCAGATAAGGCACCGGCTCCGCGCCGGCCGAAACCCGCCTGAATATCAATGTCCGTCCCCGTGTTCCGCTGACGCAGCTCAGCTCTAGGCTCACAGCTCACCGGTCGGGTCCCGGCTCTCAGCTCTTAGCTTTCAGCTTGCAGCTCTCGGGTCGGTCCTCAGCTCACAGCTCGCAGACGCCGCCCATCTCTCAGCTCGCAGACGCAGCCCATCTCTCAGCTCGCAGCCGATCTCTCAGCTCACAGCTCTCAGCTCGGCGCGGCTTAGCTAGCAGCTCGGTTCATTCGGCCAGTGACCGAGAGGGACATATCGCCCCCCGGGGAGAGAGGCCCGATCGGGTCAGGCGACTAGGATCGGCTTTACGCGGTCGGCGGACATATACCGGCGCATGGCGACCCAGGGATCGGTGGTAGCGTCGACAGGCCGCATGGCGAACCAGTGACGTCGACAGTTCAGGGAGACTACCAGACGCATTGATAGGGTCCGGTAATCGGACTACAGTAAGACTACAGTAAGCCACGGCTAATACACTGACGATAGGATTAACTTCAACCCACACATGCTCAATGGATGTAGAAACAAATGTCAGAAATGCAGGAAATAAATGGCCGCGCTACAGATGCAACATACAAAGCAGAAAATAATCTACAAAGGAAGTAACATCGTCTTAGCAGATCTGTCTGGAAACCTATCAGCAAGACCTTAAAATAAGCCCCAGACAGGATGCTTTCCGAGTGGTGATCCGGCTCAGTATTGATCGAGACTGCAATGATGCATCATTGATGAAGCCGTGTTCAATATCTTGGAAACAGGTAACGCGCCTAGAGTGCAAACCAAAATTCGCGTTGCATACGACACGTACCGAAACAAATAATGCATAGCCTTTAGCATGCGTCGGAAGAGGGTTCGCTTCTCATCAACAAGAATAGCCCCGGAAAGCGTCTCTTTGGGCTCCACCCACCGCATCATTGCCCAGAGACGAGGACAAGCAGCTATTTCTGTATCTCGCTGCCACATAACCCCATATAACCCCTATACTCCCAGTCAGAGATACAATCACATTTTACCGTCGCCATATGAAAACAACAAGTTCGCCGAACATAGACCATAAAGCCGCCAAGTGTCATAAGACACCGAACCACCGAAAACGGTGTCGTCTAACCACAATACCATCCGCTGTTGCCGGGCGGGCCGGCCCGCGGAGCGCTGCCCTCTCGGCACAGCCTGGAGCGCCTGCGGCGACCCTTGACACGAGCGAGGAACCCAGCGGGCGACCCGCCGCGGCACGGCGTATCCAAGCGGGACGAGATCAATTGGAAGACGGCCAGCCGACGAGCGACCTGGCACGAAAGGCTCGTGCCGCGGCTCAGGACGACACGTAAAACAGCGCCGCGATCCTCTTGGCATTAAGGGGCGCGCGAAGCTATCTGTCCGACTGAAATTGTGCCTTCAGTGGTGTAGTGCCGTTGTTGAATGAGCCACAGTTCAGATTGAAATTCGAATACAGTTAACATTATAGGTAGACAACTTGAGCTACTGTTCATTGTGCATTCTATGAGGGTGAAAAAAACACCTCCAAGAGATACCTGTTACAGATACTTCAATGATTAACATCTATTAATGAAAGAAGATGGTAGATATAAACCATAAATGAACGGAACGCACTCATTTAATGCACGGCTAGGTGTTGCTATGTGAGTAACACAAGAAGCGTCTTTGCTCGGTGGAGTGAATTGGTACAAAAGTCACCGCGTCCTGATAAGTTAGGTGTGCCGTTTTGCACATATTCACATTAATAAACCAAAACCCGTCTGGTCCAACTTCAAAACCCAATTAGGCGGCAGTCTCAACTCGGAACCCATCTGAAAAGTTCGCGCTCCCAGAACTCCCAGCCACTGTGCCATTCTAACTGCAGTTTTAATTGCGACTTGGTGCCTGTAAATTGCTTTCTCGCAACTAAAAAATAAAATATTCAAATAGCACCCAGTGCCCGGCGACTGCTACCAGTGGCCAGCCACACAAAATGCCTTCCAAACTATCGGACAGTCCGTGCATGGTTTCCAACTCCACCCAAACAAGGCCGTCTTTCCGGCCGTCTTTCGGCCGATGCCGTCTGGGGCAGTACCATCTCTGTCGGTGACGGGAGACGCGCCGTCTTGGCGACATGGCGTCTGAATGGCGTCATCAACAGCCACCCGATGGCCGATTACGATAAGTCCCGACCGAAACAGCCGCCTGAGCTCAGCACCGAGCAACAAACCAGAGAATGGCCCCAATGGCTGCCGTCGCAGCACATCGTGCCCCACCTATTGACGGCTGTCAATGGTCATGTGAGGACAAGAATGGCCCAAATTGTACCGTGCAATGCCGTCCGACGAGTTGAGATCGGGGTTTACGGGCGACGGTGCCGACTGGTATTTTACGTCACAGGAGTGGGCTGTTATTGGTGTTTTATTATCAACATCGGGGCACCAGAGGAGTAACAGGCCAACCATAAGATTGTTATCATACTTCGGAGAGTGTTGCTACTTAATTTCACTCGGCTCTGAAAAGCAGGCCTGCCATATTTGCAACGCACGATTTTGGTAATATGCGGTAAAACTCGCCATCTCTGAACTGAAAGTAGCCGAGGAAACAATTCCTCTCGAATCAGTGACAACTGGCACCGGTGTAACAAAACCCTTGGTACGGACTCAAGCGGGACTAAATAGGGAATTCGTCGCAGTTTACGGCACCTGCACATTGTTGCAAAATGCCGAGCTTCCTTCCCTCGCAACGGTGCATCAGCAACACAGCTCATACTGAGCTGAGTACGCAACGGCGGCAGTTTTCCACTTATCATAGCGAACGACTTCCAATCCGCTGACCTGGACACAATTCCGATGAAAAGGTCATGCATTGCGTTCATCTATCATGCAAATACTTTCCAATGGAATGCAGTGTCGGTTTGTTGCGACTTGAGAAGGAGGAACAATACATAAGAAGATCGAGTCAATACCAATGCCGCCACAGTCTCCGTGTCAATAACGGCCGTAAGTGTTGTCATTGGCTGTATGATTCCGTTTAAAATACGCCTTACTACAACAAATTATTTTTAGCATGCCTTGCATATGCATAGCATGCAATTCGCAATTTGTTTGAACGAATTAATGTGATAAATAGACGATCGGACCGTAACAACTGTGTTTAGCTGTCTAGTTTTGCTCAAAATTATTGTTTTTAAGAATATCTCGATGAGATATATGTATAATGCACTTATATTTATTTACCATGAATGTCCAGTTCCTCATTTCAAACTGTACCTTCCAATCTACTAATACCAATCAGGTCAGCGTAAGTAAAGTACAAGACATGCAATACAAGTCCTCCACGATCAGCACTGGATTCGGTGGTGGATGCACGTGGCCGCAGGGTCACACCTGGACCGCAGAGGAACCGTCAGCAGTCAGCACCCAGGTGGGCACTCCATTGACAGCTGATCTGACCAGTCATTTGGGGGGGGGGGGGACTTCGCCATGGACCGCCGGACAGCAGCGAGTGAAAGGTTGAATCCCAACGCCAGATCAACTTGGCGGCTCAGAGATACAGGGTTGAGGAAGTAAGCGAAAATCAAATAATATTTCTGAATATGATACTACGCCGAGCATTTATCAGACGAGCAACATTTCCGGACTGCGCTGTATAGGACAGAGCGCGGGTACTGGCACCGGGCAATGACTCGTTCGACAAATAATGAACGGGGAGCGTCCACACTTATAATCGTCAAGACATGTTTATGACCTTAGGCACCAAAAAGCTCATTCCAATGCCTCAAATAGACAATGCCGCTGCCTGTCTTACACTATCGCAGCGATAGCACAGCGGACGCCACATACCATGTCTCGCGAGGGGTCGCAGGGGTCAAAGGTCACGGCCCCACCCGTCGTGCAATGCCTCTTGTCGCGAGAAACTGTGGCGGGCAGTCCTCATAATTTCCCTGCCGCGGTGGCGCCCGACGGAGGTCATTAGGCTGAAGCATCGGCCCCGAGACGGACGGAGCCGACTCTAATGATTTAAGCCGTCTGTCCGGGGCGCTACTGCGAAGGACTAACGATCCCAGAGCCACCTCTGCAGCTCAGATACTCGTGGCCACAGCCGGTCTTATCGCACTGATGACCTCCGGGAAAGACAGTGGTCGACTCTTTCACTAACGGCACTGGCTGGAATGGTGGCAGGCGCAATCGATCGAGGAAATGTCTCGTGTGCTCCTAGCCTAGCTATATCGAGTATATTGGGGATAGTCGAGCGAACGATAGAGATTAGAGATGGCCACAATGCTTGGGTTGTAGCCTTGCCGGGACTGCAGTGGTCATTGACACCCTGAATAAAACAGTTAATAGTTATCACTTGAAAACCAATATTAAAATACATCAAATATTAAAGCAGATAGAAATACTATAAGTATGTTCATATAGTCTGTGTTTGTTCATAGCCACCCATCCATTCATTAAGACAAAATTCATTTAAAAGTAGGCATAATTTTTCACACATTTACACAATAGTCCCAGAATAGAAAGGTGTTGCAATTGACCCCTCCTTGTACTTGTAGAGTGAAAGGGACTTACCAGGATCGTCCAGCGGATAAAGCGGCCGGCTGCCACAGAGTACTCCTCCACCAGCTCAGCCAGGTAGTACAGGCATGCCGCTGACAGCATCAAGACAAGGATGGTCAGATTCCTGATGAACAAGGCTGGACTGATTTGTGTTGAAAGTCATTGATTTAATGGCATATCATGATTTGGTGACGTATTTTAATACATTTCTTGGGTCGGAAACACGGAGGGGGATTAACTAATTTTGAAGCAGGAACCTCCATGTGTATGACCATTTCTTGTAATACTCAAAGAATATCAACAAGTAAAAGGACTGCTCCCCATTTATATTCCCACAGATGATCTATAGATCATTTCCTGATTTGAGCTGAAAATGGTGGAAGTTGAAGTAAGAAATTACTTAATTACCACATATTTCCAACAAAAAAATGAGAGGATGTGGGATCAACTAATCCAAGTAGGTATGTTATATCATAATGTGAACAGTCAAAAGGCAAAAGCTCGGTAACAAAGTTATTGAATATTTCAATTTGATTCTCACCTGTGGCAAAAGTGAAGAAACAGATCTGTAGAAGAAATGAAAGCCATCCTACTAAATTTAGAAACCACATATTTATCTATGCCTATGCCTTTTTTTGGCAAATAAAATATCGAAATGTAGGATCAGATACTAAGCAGTGCAGTGATGCTTGAATGGTGAATAATTGTCCTTACGGCCCAGATATTTTTGCTTCAATCTGGATTTATCAGTTAGTAAATTTCATTACGCAAAGCTTTAACCATCAATGCACATAACCTTCCCATAAAAAAGCCGACAGGACTAATCCGCTAATCTGAAGAAAATATCCAATGCCGTATTCTCATTCGGCTTCAGGAAGTCAACAAAAACAGAATTTGGCAGGATAAGTATTTTGCAACAACTGCGCAAGATTTGTCGCCAGTTACGATGCAGAATGCTACCAAACACAAGATTCCTTCATAGCACAATTTGCTGTACTTCAATTGATAGAACCTCTTTATTTCAGTAAAATTTGAAACATGTACACATTCAATGAATAATTTCTACACATTTTTCGATAAAATAGATTTTCATCATAAGTTAAATGCAAAATAAGAAATATTCAAAGCGAACCATCACAGTGTGGAGTACAGCCCAAACAGCTGTTGGGATCACCTGATACACAAGATTCTCTTCGAGCAACGACTGCATTTCTTCGCTGGTTGTGGCCGGTCTAATCCGTCGTATTCAATTAAGTTTAGTGTTATTCGTTGAAATTTAATTCGAAGCGGAAGTTCCAGCAGCCAGCAAGATGCCGACGACTTTGACTCCACACCAGGCTCGTACTGAGCACACAATGGCGATCACAAGAGACTACATCTCACAGCCTCGTATCAGTGAGTTTGAGTTCAGTAGTGCTATTTCTATCTATTTTATTTAGCTGCCAAATCATATGCTTTTTACAGATTCAGCATTCAAAATGTCTTGCGAATGTTTTTGGTATCATAAATATAGTCTGAAATATGGATAGTCATTAGTATTTTAAGGGACGGGCCAGGTTTTGAGTACCCACGCTAAATTTAATCAATCATTGCTGGTATTGGATGCTAAGCCTGTGTGAATGTTATGTGATGCAAGGTAGATTATGCACTGAGTATTCTTGTACCTACTGTGACACTATTTCTAACTGCAGTGCGGAGTTTTCACAGTATCTGTACCGGTATGGTATCTACTATCTATGGAACAGGTGCTGTATCACCAGGCAGCAGGCACTGTCCCATCCCAGCTCACAATGCATTGCAAGAATTGGGTTGTACTAGCCAGTGAGAAGCTAGACTTTTATCAGTTAAATATCATGCATATGTCACATTCAAATTTGATGTTGCAGTTATCCTTGCTTGGTACCAGTAGGTACCTACTGAGTACAGGCTGGTTAGCATAGCTCCCTCCTGCTCCCCACTGGTGTGGTTTCAGCTGCCGCTTAATTTAGCATTCTTGTTTCTGAGACAGTCCATTTCAATTAAGGGCTACTCTTTTTTGTTGAAAATTGCCATTTCAACAGTAGGAACTCATTTCAGGGCCATGGTATGCACTATGCAGCACAAGCAGCAGTGAGACTGAGAGGCTTTGGGCTAGGCAGGGAGTGACTAATTGATGTGCTTGTGTGTCCCAGTGTCCCATAAAACTATCGAGTTCTTATTACATTTGCCTCTTCATTCCGGGTAAAATTACACTGGGACTTGATAGTTGATCCGGCCCATTCAATCTCAGTCTTACTGAAGATAAGGTTTAATGACAATTGCAATCTGAACTGTAACACTAAATCATTGATAATCATATCATAATTGGCCCCACTGATTCTATATTTGACAGGATAATGTTGCTTACCTGGCAGCTTTAGCAGTCCTGCCTACCAAGAGGTGATGACTGATGACAGTCCAGTTTGGAACCAGGAACACTGACATGAAGGCCTGCAGCACAATTTACTTAAACATTCCACTGAGTTTTTTCAGCTATGGGCTTTTCATTATGAGTTACCTATGCAACATAATTCACCACTGTAGGCTAGCTAACTACACAAAACAGCTTCCTGATTCTACCTATTGTGGTGTTTTGGTACAAGAGGCCTCTGAACTTGGTTCTGAGCCACCCTAGAATGGACGTGGGTCGTGGGGCAGATACCTACCTGTCTCCTCTCCTGGAGATCTTCTAATCCTAACATTTGGTATAACAAGAACAGATTACAGAAACCACCTGAGTCCTGAAAGCTCACAAGAAGGCCTATCAAAGCCCTGAGTAGGTACCTCAGGCATTAACTTGTCAATGCCAAAAATTGCCCCTCCCTAAACTACGATCAAAGGTTGCATCTTTGTTTTTACGATTTTAGTTACCTACAATTTATTGATTGAGGCCTGCGATATATGACATACGACGCTCTAGGCTATGTATGCATTGATTAATCTGATAATTTGATTGTGACAATTAGATCACCTGATGCTAAGGATACAAATGCAATATTCAATAGGTACACTGGGCTCGGCTCCCTGTGCAGTTTTATGCATTTATGAATGTTTTATGTAAAATATCGATGCTTCAGCATAAATTGGTGGGCTGTTGCAGAGGCTTGTGGCCCTCCATGTGAAAAGACCTCCATTACGATCTCGTGCAACTCGATCGCTATAGCGCCGTTTAAATATTCGTGGCAGGAACTTGGCTCAGTGGACAATTGCTAGCAATCGACTATTTATTTTTCTGCCAGACCAAGTGAATACAGTTTGTTCTTAGTGAGGAGTAAAGGTATAATTGAATAGGTATCTTGCTGATAGGTATCTTGCTAGGTATCTTGCTATCCCTGGCCTGGTGCCCAGGGCCTCATTGCTATGAAACTGCTAAATATCCGAGCATTCGGACTAAGTGCTGAAGTCCCCAGCTGCTGCGCTGGTATATTGCCAGTCGTAATACTGTAACCTGTGGGTTGCTTTGCTTCGCCTTGAGTCTGGTCAATGTAAACGGGTTCCGGGACCACCGAGTGATTAACCATCCAATCTTCGTAATGACGTATTGACTATTATGAATACAGTAGTCTGTCTTAAACCGGGTCCGGGTCTGTAGGTGCCGGTGTTAATGCTGATTAAAAAGGGGACGAATTCGTGTGGTGACTCCTGGCATGAAATCGGCATATTATAACTTGCTTTTATCCAGTACTTTCTGGCCAAGGTCCGTTACATGATGCTATTATTATGTTCCACCAACAGGGACATGTATTCATTACGTGCTGAGCGCAGTGAAGCCATACATTTGCATAGGTCGCCGTAGCATTCAGGGACAGGTTATTGGCTGGAACGCGTTTGGCGTAAAGCATGATTGTGCTCCCGGGTATTGAGATGAATGCGTCATAAGCGTGCACTACTCGCGACTAGTATCGGTATTGCGGCGGTGCACTATCGTCCATTTGATTAGTGGATAGAGTAGGCTAGTCTGGTCACTGCACTAGTCTAGTCATCAGCATCGATTTAGCGATGTGATAACGATTCTTAGTTCAAAGAATTGCATCGATCCTAATTTACAACTGCCATTTAGCATTGCGAATTTAGGCCAAATGCTGATTTATGGTGAGCTTGTGGGTGCTTTTGGTGGTGTGCTTGACGTCACGGTGCGCCATTTTCTGTCCTGTGCTGCGTGACACTCACCCCGCCACACCTTTTGACATACACTCATCACATTCATCATATTTATACTACACTCCTGAGGTCATCTCACCAACGTCTTCCTTCTTCCCTCGACAGCCTACAAGACCGTGTCGGGCGTCAACGGTCCCCTGGTGATTCTCGAGGGCGTCAAGTTCCCCAAGTTTGGTGAGATCGTCAACCTGACTCTGGGAGATGGCACTGACCGCCAGGGTCAGGTGCTCGAGGTCAGCGGATCCAAGGCCATCGTACAGGTGAGCGGCGGGACTGGTGTGGGGGTATCCCTGTCTCTTAGTAACGTTAGTTTTAAAACTTTGGTGTTTTTATGAGTTCTGGCCCCCGTGTTAGGTTTGGTGGACTGTGGGTCGTCTGGAATAAAGGTTGGGCTGAACAGGAGGGGGAAGCCGATATCGGATTTACGTTGTATTTGTGTTTGCTGTCGCCGATACCGATTTAAGTAGGTTTTGATTGTCATGTTGCCGAGAGTGGTGATGTTTGTGCCGGAGACGTCGGTGGTGATTAGGGTGGTGGTGTGGTTTCTGGGGTAGTTTGGCTGAGTTGGTGATGGTATCGGTACAGAGACGTTCTACCGATGCCGCGGATGACTACCACTGCCGATGGCGGTGGAGCCGCCGAGAGCGGTGGGCGGGGACGGCCCGCCGGCAGACAGCGGCCCGGTATTGGACCGCGGTCGTCTCCGGCGGCCGTGCGGCGAATTTTCATGGCGGCCCAGCCATCATTTCCTCGCCGTGATGAGCCGTAAATTGTGCCCACGCCTGTGGCCGGGGAAATAAAACCGGCCCACTGTAAATTGTGCCGTATATCCGGCCGAGCCGGCGGCCACGCTCCGACCGCTCGTGCCGTGGGTGCTGAGCTCCCGACCGCCGGCCAGAGAATGGCCATTGTCCAGCTATGGCGCCACTACGCGGAACGTGCTTGGTATGTGTAGGAAACGGTCCTGATCGCAGCTACGGAGATTTTATCGGTTGGGTGTGGAATACGTCATCGGGGCTTGCCTACCGTAAACCTGGCGAAAATGTGTTTTATCTTAAGACGCGAAACTGTCATTGTAATTTACTTGGTTTCGAATGCCGGTAACTTACTTTGACTTGTTGGCATCTTGCAATTGGAGCATTATCTGTAGGTGAATTTCGCACTTTATCGGTAGTGTTTTTAACCTGCTGTTTTCTCACAGTGTTTTCGACACTGCCTTTCCTCTCGGTGAATTTAATTAAGTATACCTTGTCCGCAGGTGTTCGAGGGTACCTCGGGCATTGACGCCAAGAACACGATTTGCGAGTTCACCGGCGACATCCTGCGCACTCCCGTCTCCGAGGACATGTTGGGCCGCGTCTTCAACGGCTCCGGCAAGCCCATCGACAAGGGACCGCCCGTGCTGGCCGAGGACTTCCTTGATATCCAGGGTATGGCTTACTGAACGCGGCAAGCAGCTGCCCGGTAGTGTGTGGTGGATGGTGGGGTAGACGGGGGAGTATTGACGGTACTTTTTGCGGATATAGGGCGGAAGAGATTATATTGTGTGATTGGTAGGGATGATATGCGAGCAATATAGGTTTGCATGCTGTGGTGTCGGCATTCACGTATGTGCAATTAGAGCATCTGGGAGAGCTAATGAAATAAGTTCCCTGATACCGGGAAACGATATTGCGTTTTTGCTATTGCCGTCAATTCTGATCAGCTCAATTAGATGGTGAGTTATGCGTTGTTGTCCCTGTTCCGGTATAAGTTACGCTGACAGCGAACATCTTTTATTAGCTCTATGCGAAATGCGGCTTCGAGTCGAGGCTGCTTAATGTTTCACTCTACATTAACTTCAGCACTCTTGGGAAAGGACATACCGGTGCTAACAAAATGCTTGTCGTGTCACTAGTCTTCCGATGATAAGCAATCGTCAATGTAATGGCCTCATCCTTTTTCAGTACACCAGTCTCAGCTGAATCCCCACTACCCTGCCATTCCTTTCGCATGGCTGCTGACTCCTTTGACGTTCTTACGACCATAACGTGACCGTGACCGTGACTGGTGCTCCAGGTCAGCCCATCAACCCGTGGTCGCGTATCTACCCGGAGGAGATGATCCAGACGGGAATCTCTGCCATCGACGTGATGAACTCGATTGCCCGTGGACAGAAGATCCCGATCTTCTCTGCCGCCGGTCTGCCTCACAACGAGGTGAGATAGAGTCAGATGCGGAGTCAGAGTCAAAGTCAGAATGATTAGGTAAAGACAAAATGATGTAGCAGTGCGGCGTCATGTTTCATGTGCGCATGTTTTGGTGTTTGATGACGTCCAATTTGTTTTCTGGTGTAAGGTGTCGCCATGGGGAACGGACACTCTGGCTGCCATAGGTCACGGTTGGTGTTAACTTGCTGCTTGTGGGGGGTAATTACATGGCGCATCCACCCTGTGCTTATTGCTGTATATAATGAGCAATGTTCAGCTATTGTATTTTGTCATGTTGAATCCATATTTCTATGGTTCTTGTTAAGTTTTACAGCATCGATGTTGTATCGCTTGATAGAAGTCGCTAAATACCATACCTCGGGACCTATGAACCTTCAGTTACATGTATAGTCCCAGTATTCTTGCCCTTACACCTGTGCTCCATTCGTTTTATCCGAATAAGCCCACTAACTGTGCTCTTTTCTCTGCGTCTTGTGCTGTGCAGATCGCCGCCCAGATCTGTAGGCAGGGCGGTCTGGTCAAGCTGCCCACCAAGTCGGTCATGGACGACCACAGCGACAACTTTGCCATCGTGTTCGCCGCTATGGGTGTCAACATGGAGGCCGCCCGATTCTTCAAGCAGGACTTCGAGGTGAGGACGCTGAGGATGCGTTTTTGGCTCGCATGTAGGCTTCGGATGTTAGCTAATGGCGTTTTGAAGGCTGGTTTAGTGATGTTTCTCGTTATGGTTTGAAAGTACTTCACGCTCAAAATTTAGTGTATGGTTCAAAAGATGCACTGGCGCTTCACGCTGGGTATCATGGGATCATGTTGCTTTGTAAAATGTATCGTTATCGTGCTCGATATCTTGTGTACTGAATGATGGTCATTGGTGCTTATCTCATTATCTGGGTTCGTCTCGACATGATAGCTCAGTGTTTGAAACCTGAAGCACATGGGCTTCACTGTGACTCATAGACCACCATTTTGTTTTTCTCACAGTTCCAATATCAACGTTAGCGACCATTGTAGCTCATGCACACTAAAACCTAAACTCATCGACCACCAAGAATCACTGGGATCGTTAACAACCACCCCTCCCCCTCCCTCCTTTCCACAGGAGAACGGCAGCATGGAGAACGTGTGTCTGTTCCTGAACCTGGCCAACGACCCGACCATCGAGCGTATCATCACGCCGCGTCTGGCGCTCACCACGGCCGAGTTCCTGGCCTACCAGTGCGAGAAGCACGTGCTGGTCATCCTCACCGACATGACCTCGTACGCCGAGGCGCTGCGAGAAGTGTCGGCTGCCCGTGAGGAGGTGCCCGGACGGCGTGGTTTCCCCGGATACATGTACACCGATCTGGCCACCATCTACGAGCGGGCCGGCCGTGTGGAGGGCAGGAACGGATCCATCACGCAGATCCCCATTCTGACCATGCCCAACGATGGTGAGTGTGTGTGGGAGAGGGGATGGAGCTTGGAGGATTAGAGAAAGTTGTACTGGCTTGAAATAGGGTTTGTATGGATTTCGGTAGATGATTGATTTAGTTTAAATTTTGAAGAAACGGTAGTACGATATGCTGAAAAGTTACTGGCGGAAAATTGCTCTGTGATCGCTTTTAGTTTTTAGTTGCTGCGTAGTTTCAAATTATTGTAGCCACATTAGAGGGGCTATATTTTTTTAAGTTCCGGCCTGGCCGTGTCGCAGTTTCGTCCCGGGTCCAATTTTAGACGATGTGTAATCCACACAGCGTACCTGAAGGGATTAGAGCATACTGAGATAGATGAGCAAGTGTGCCTTGGCGCAACGCCCCTCCGCCAGCGCTCGTGGCATCCCAACTAGTCTTTGAACCGCCCTAGACTCAGAAACCCCCAGCTCTGTCGGCTGGAGTGCGGGGTACAATCCGATCCCGATAGGAGCCATCAGAACCAACACCCTCGGCCGGCTCGCACAATGCACCTGCCATTGACACACGACAAAGTTAAACAGCTGTTCGTGGCATGTGACCCAACTCGGCCGAGCGAGCGAGTCGAACTCAGTCAGCCAAGTTGCCGCATGCAGCTCCTCGCTTGTATGCCTCCGGCTGCTTCCGCATGTGAGGGCTGGCGCGGTAACTTTGGGTACAGTCTCCTCCGGCCGTGGGAACGTTGTGGCCGCTGCGTACCTCTCGGCTCTCCGTCGTATGGCCTCCAGCTGCTGTAGGCGGCTCGTGCGCCGTCGCTGCACTTTCTGTTCATGGTTGAATTGATCACGATGTGAGCTGAGTTGTTCGTGGGCGTTTTATGGGCGTGTAACGGGCGCCGGCGGCGGTGGAACTAGCGAGAACAATGAGCTGCCGTCTGAATCTTGTTATTCTGGTGATAAACAGATGCAGCTGCTGGGGTCATTAACATCTTTCTGACGCACCGGTGACGGCTATGGCGCTAGCCTATGACGCACTTGTCGATTATCTAACCCGCCAATTGAAATGCGAGTATCCGACCGAACGAAACTCGGGCACAATGGTGAAGAACGCTACAGGTGCGTCGTTACCGATGAGAAGCGCCGTTACCGCTACCGCCCGCCGGTCCATAAACTTTCTAGAATAACGAAACAAAGTTGGGTGTTAATTTTTTTACGCCAGAAAGTAAAAGCAAAGTTTTAAGTTTCGGTGTACCATAAAGTGAGGAAGACACAGCTTCCTAACTAGACCACCCTATAACTTTGTTTCTTTACCTACTGATTGCTGTTTTTCCGAACATCTATCCATATATATCACTTCTAACCTCCAGTTTCTCGCCTTCTCCAGATATCACCCATCCGATTCCGGATCTGACCGGATACATCACCGAGGGTCAGATCTACGTGGACCGGCAGCTGCACAACCGGCAGATCTACCCGCCGATCAACGTGCTACCGTCTCTCAGCCGTCTGATGAAGTCGGCCATCGGCGAGGGCATGACGCGCAAGGACCACGCCGATGTCTCCAACCAGCTGGTGAGCACGTCCGCGGCTGTGCGGGATTATACATATATGCTGAGCGTGTTGGGATGGGAGGCTGGGAAGCACAGTAGTCCCTACTGTGGGCTTGACTCTAGATTCCGTTGATAGCTTACCGTTGAAGGCTCCTGTTGGTAGTTATTTATCACGCTTTTGCCGTGTTTAAGTATTGATCGGGTATGAAAGGGTGCGGGATGTGGGCTGGACATCAATTGTACTTAGGTTTACTTTCACTTGTAACGTCCAGGGTGAAGGAAGCTCATCTGCAGAGCTATTTTAGGGGCACTTATTTAAAGTCGCCACTTTAACTTCGGCATGCGTCGGTGACTTCCTGATAGTTTTGTCACTCTGAATAGGCACGTTAAATGATGTGCGTCGATAGTTCTGAGTCAATTCAAACTTTGGTATAGCCGTGGGCGGGAATGTGCGGCTAATGCGTGGTCTCTCGGACGAGGGTGCTGTGCGCTTTGACAGTGCTGCGAGTATGAAGCTAGGCACTTTGTTCAGAGTTTTCCCGATGCGTTCTCTGAAATGAACTTTGCAGCAAATGGACTTGCGTAGGAGCATTTAAATATTCAAAATATACTGCGCGTTTCCTCAGAGATAATGCGTTAATTTAGGTCAGCCGTAACTCTGGATCTTCATTTTCTGTAGTTTTAGTGAGACATTATTACTATGTAGCCGCACTTCCTGTAACCGTAAATCATAATCACCATCTGTTACATCCCGCATTGCCCCACGCCGGGCGTATCTCACCACTAACGCCCCGCCCTGTTCTCCTGTGCTCTCTCAGTACGCGTGCTACGCCATCGGCAAGGACGTGCAGGCCATGAAGGCTGTGGTGGGTGAGGAGGCCCTGACGGCCGACGATCTGCTCTACCTCGAGTTCCTGACCAAGTTCGAGAAGCACTTCATCACACAGGGTGAGTCGGGGTGGTGGGTGGAGGGGTTGAGGTCCTTTGTTAAGCGGCGTGTCAGAATTGATTGAGTGAAAGCCGATCAGTCATTGGTCTGGCATAGTGCCTGTTGGCGACCACGCTGTCATCGTTACCTCATTGGTTTTGATGGTCCATTTGATAATGTAAAGTGACCTGATGCGTCGTAACATTTGCAGTTGAGGAATATTTTAGTCATTAGTCGATAAATGTCAGGTGTCCGAGTCGCCAACCGACTTATGAGTAATGCTAACCTGAATTGGGAAGTAATTACGTCATTTAAAAAAGTTTATGTATTGTCGTATACTGCGTAGTTTAGTGCTGAAAAGCTGGGAGAAGTCTTGTTAACTCGGCCCATGACCGTTGACCATTTAACGAGTGTGGCTTCGGCGTTTTTACACTTTTTATTGTTCTGGCTTGCTGGGTCACATGTGACGCTTTTCGTCCATTTCCTTCGCTTCTTTCAACATTTCCATGCTATGAGAAATGCCTATTCAGGTGCGCTGTTTATTGTATAACGCATATCCACCAGGCTTCTCTTCAAGGCTTGATGAATTCACGGTTGAAATGTCAAATGACAATTATAGCGAAATAAGATGAAACTGGTCGTCTTTGTCAACGACCTCTGAATTCCGAGCGCCCTAAAAGTGCAAATCACAGGCCATTGTCATTTTGACGCACCAGTTATCAGCTCCGTGCTCCACGTCGGACTTCTTTTGTAACCGGCACTCTCTCTTCGCCAGGCAACTACGAGAACCGCTCGGTGTTCGAGTCGCTCGACATCGGATGGCAGCTGCTGCGTATCTTCCCCAAGGAGATGCTCAAGCGAATTCCGGCCAGCACCATCGCCGAGTTCTACCCGCGTGAGAACAAGAGCACTGCGGATAACAACTGAGCAGCCAGCGCCGCGCCGTGTGTGGTAGGTCAACTTCAGTCTCCCGCAATCGCCGCTAGGTGTCTCTAAAGTGCATCGCTGCGTCAAAGTGTGAGTTAATTTTCGGCCATTTGGTAGACCGTGCCCAGTACGTTTTTATCGGCACGTTTGTGCGAATTCGTTTTGAGGCATGTATATTTGTTACCGTTCAAAGCCATGGCCGTGTACATATATTGGCGATAGGTGGATCATATATGTCGAAGGGAGCGCGGCTGGTCCAGTGGCCAGTGTGTGCCTGTGCGCCCTGTCCTCAGTGTGAGCGTCTTGTGTAGATAGTGCGAATTGCGTCGTCGATATACATTCCATGTGGGTGAGATGCGTAGCTCGACGGCGCGCGTCTAAGTGATGGATCACATTCAGTTATAATTTGCTGAAGACGGTCAGCAGCCATAAATGTATATCGAATGGAATCAGTGGCTGACGAGGCCCGGATGAATGTAGCGAACGATCATCTTGTGTGGCTGATGATGGAAAAATATACACTATACACAAACTAACATGGGAACTCTTCATTGGCCAAGTTAGCAATCGGGTCATGAAACCGAGAAAGACCATCGCAGAAAAACGTCAGTTTACCGCATTTAAATAACAAACAATGCATGCAATTAACTGCACGCACACTGTGTAATCACACGCATACCAATGATCTGTGGAACTCTGGGTGGACGGTGCACCACGCTGCCGATCAGGCATGGACGGTTGATGACGTCCCGTCTCCACTCCACTTTAAAGCGGGCGTTCGCAGGCGTACGACCGTCCTCAGTCTTCGACTCCTGGCCGCTGTGGATGGAGGATTGATGGATTTAAACTTCATTTTTTCTGTAGGAAGTATCATTAGAATATATGACCTTCTCCTCGGAAAATGACCAAATGAATGAAAATGATTATTTATTGATGAATTGATGATATTTCGGTCACAGACCTTCGTCTAAATCGAATTCGTGAAATCGTACAAGGCAAAAGTAGCGAGTGAAATGCGATTTTTGTACGATTTCACGAATTCGATTTAGACGAAGGTCTGTGACCGAAATATCATCAATTCATCAATAAATAATCATTTTCATTCATTTGGTCATTTTCCGAGAAGGTCATATATTCTAATGATATTTCCTACATTTATCATGCTCCTCGCAACAGCTCTCAACGATATACGAAACTTCATTTTTTCTTCCTATTGCCAATGCTTATGAAAAACAATAACGACATGAGCAATCACACTGCTGAGATTGTACGGAATTGCCATTATGTTTGCCGGTCCCGTTCTGCTGCGCTCTATCCCCTGCAATAACGGTGGATTCGTCACGTTGCCGCTTACCTTGATGATGGTGCCGCTCCTGCGGAGGAAGGAGAGCAGCAGCTCCTTGTTCTCTGTGAGGAACTTGAGCTGGCTGCGCTGCAACTGCTTCCGCTGCTCCTTCAGCCAGATGGCCCGCTGCTGGTCAATGCACGCCATCGCAAACAGCTGCGGAAGGAGGGTCGAGGATGATCATGTCCTGAAACATAGACCACTATCATCAAATCATCAATCATCATGATCATGTTGAAAATAGGCACTTCATTACATTCACGTCATAAAATAATTTCAAATTCATGTACCGATCTTTCACAGGCTGCTCTCACTAGCTCATATCCACTTCTCGATGGATTAGATGTCATTGGAATGCTATTTAAAATAACTGCCATTCAAAGCATCTCATTTATATCAAATTGACCATTTGACGTTGAAACTATCGACATGCCCTAGCTCTAGCCGGGCGGCTACCTTGAACTCCTTGAAGTCGAGCTCCGAGTCTCCGGACACGTCGAACTCCTTGAAGATGGAGCGGATGGCCGTGCTGTAGAAGTTGAACATGAAGCCGATCCTCTCGAATTCCTCGGCCGACACGGAGCCCGACTGGTCAAAGTCCATGATGTTGAACACGGCCCGCGAGTGCCGGTAGATAAACTCCTTCTCCACTTTGTCCTGTGGGCAGAGAATGTAAACAGAGATTGAACACCAAAAACTTGTGTCGTTTCTTGAAATACGTTTATCTGTAATAGGCAGCGAAGTCCTTTGTGTCAAGAGCTGATAAGCATCGTCATTCGTCCTGTTAACGGATAAACTCTTTAGCGCATTTACGAGTATCTCTGTCCAAAAGTCGTTTCAAAGTCAAACCGTATCGTGCCTAATGCAGCATAATGATTATAAATATGGCTTGTCTTTCTTGGTAAGTCGAGCTTAATCACTATAATTTAGCCATGATATTGGTCCGTCATCTTACTGGTTTCACATTACGCTTATCAACTTATGCACCTGTATTTTACGTACTTTGACGGCGACCAGTATGGCGATGAACAGGTAGAACTCGTCAAAGTCGATCTCCCCGGATCGGTCGACGTCAAACAGTTCAAACAGGTCGTATACCTGGTGGCCCTTGAGGTTTGTGCAGCTGCGCAGCCACGCGCAGAATATGACGTCTGGGGCACAAGGGAGTTAGTATAGGTCACACGTTTTAGCTGACCAGTCGTACTTCTGTCATCACATTCGGAATTAAGAGAAAGAGTATGTCTTTAGGGCTTGACTTTTTAAGGCCGCCCCACACTGGAACTCGCATGCGGGTTGCGGGCTTGCGGGTTTTGAGTTTGCGGGCATAATACTAATTCATAGTGTGATTAGACCGTTTCCTTATGGTAACTTCATGAATGCAGTGAAGCCGGTACACCTTCAGAAACTTACATATAGTCGCAATACCAGTGCAACGAACCAAAATTCGGCTCCAACGAAAAAACCGCAAACCTCGCAGAACTCGCAGACCTCGCAGCGAGGAAAATCGAAAGTTGACTCAAAATCAACTTTTGGAATGCAATGCAAGGTCGCTCGCAAGCTAAAAACATGCAGACTCGCTTGTTTGATGGTAGTGTGGGTCACTCAGCCTAGATTGTATTATTTGATTTTGAAGAAACCCGAAAACCCAAAAACTCGCAACCCGCATGCGAGGTCCAGTGTGGGGCGGCCTTTAACCAGCAGTTTGGTTAAAAAAAAATGCAATCTACAAATTATAGTTGAGTTTACACATATGTAGGAGAACGTGAGCATTGACACAACCGTTTAATCGCGAGACTGAAACCAACCGGCTGAGCCATAAGCTCGATTTTTCAATCAAATTGTGCATGTGCGTTTGAACACAAATGATCATATGCTCGGTGATGTGCATTTGTTATCAACGTGCGCTTATCATCATCATCATCATCATCAATTTATTACAACATCCTTGACGGACAAACACATATACATGTACACATACACATACACACACCTATACCTACATACACTACGAGTACGATCAGTTTTTCAGCCGACGGGGCCTATGAATGGCCTTGATTGAGAGCATCGCATGTCAACAGTCTGACGAGGCTCCAGGCACAGGTTATGTTCATCATAGTTTTGTAAATGTACGCTGATTTATCACGCCAATCTTTTGGCACAACACCAGCCGAAGATATTCGATGATTGTCAGCCTCACGGCTAAATTAGAATGATGGTCGATTTCTCCGTCTTTTGAGGCCCCACCCTTCCCGGTAGGCATTCCGCATGCACTTACCGTTAATCGCTGATGTACCGTGAATATCAAGCAGGTTGAACAATTCCATGCTGAGAACGGCTGATCGCACTGTCATCAGAGAAAAACTTGGATCCAAGTGAAATGATTTCAGCAGAACAGATCGGACTTCCATGATGGTGCACTCAGTTGGTGGCTTGATCTGTAACGTTTTGTGTGGGCTTTGCAATGTTTATACTTTCACTATCTTATAAGCCTGATTAAGCGTTGTGGGTTCTAGCAAATTCAGTCGTCTGTCAATATTTGATTCGTTTCACGCTTTGTTTCAATGCTGTTTTATTGTCATTGCCAATTTATTGCTATGACTACTTCGATCAAGTGCTAAGGAACCTGCGAAATGAAGAAGGTGCCCTATTTTCATGTACTCGTAAGTCATAACCAACTCATAACTTCAGCGTCAAAGTAATGTGAAATGAGTCAGTTTTCCAAACCATGTGCGAGGATGAAATCCTTTTTATTTTGCGACAAGGACCACTGATTCAATAAATGCATCGTTTCTTTAGGGCTCTGTCATTCTAATTTATAATCTATCGATGAATAACCACCTAATTAGCTATACCTATTGTAAATAAGACTCATGTCATCCTATACCCTTGGCTGCCTGGGCTCTCAGCGACAGAGGTTATATCGAAAGTCACACAACGGCAAATTACATCGACATAAAGGCTTTGTTCTCTCAGCACGGTGGCGACATTGGTCAGATTGCGGCGCAATTTAGCTACTTTGCGTGGTCGTGACAGCTATTAGCGTTGGCGCTCCGAGGTGCCAGTGGGCCGAGCCGGCCATTCGTAACGGCGATCCGCCAATTTCCGATAAGGACGGTCCAATCGGAGCCCGTCGGCGATACCGGCCAAATGAAGAGCTGCCGCGTCGGCAACCGGATGGGCCGCTCTGCCGCGAGGCGAGACAGAGTCGGAGTGGCTGCACGCGCCGGTCAGCTCTTCAGGTCAGCTCTGGTCTGTTCAGTGAGTAAGGAGTAAAGCTTGTGCATATAGCCATCATTTCTTCACATGCACATCATCGGTTTGAAAGTTGTAGTTAGCTGTGCGACTCGATAACACTACGCTCACTTTTCCAATTGCTGTTAGATGCTTATAATGGGCTTTTTCTACAAATGATGCTAGCACACGATTCTCTGGCGTTTGACGCCGTTTTGAATATTATATTGCCTTTGCACTTGGCATGATCGTCCGCATTCCATTTGTGATGGGAGACCACTTCAACCTCTTCTAACCTACCACTTATACCATTACCGTTTCAACCAACGGAATGCTCTTCAGACTATACTCCGCCACAAAATTGTTCCACAGTCTCTCCCGAGCTATTCCAGCGCACCTGACCTCGCTTCGGCACCTCTGCGGGAGGTCTTTAACCACTTTTGAACACCCCTACAAGCACCATCGCTGAGAGGACCGCCGAGCTTCTGATCCCGTCCCGCTCCCCTGCCGTCCGCTCCGACCCCTCTGAGCCGGCACTCGAAATCGACCCCTGCAGCACGCACCAGGGAATAGTTTCAGTCATCCCGCATTCTCACATGTCGGCACTCTTGGTGTTTTTGTAGCCGAGTGCATGATATTTGCTGTGAAGAGCTGCTCTCTGTTTCTTCGTCAAGAACACGGCCGGGGTATTGTCTGGCGAAAGGTTGGGGTGAAGTTCAGTGCTCTGTGATGGGGATGGGGTGTAGTCACTGCCCTGGATCATTCACAAACCTGCCCTGACATTGAAATTAAGTAAAGTTTATTGATTGTAAGGGAATGAGCTAGGTGCTAAGAATAGCTTTGTATGCATGTCCCTATTGACTTCGGAATTCTTTCACAGCCCTTATCAATCGTCCTTCTCGAAATCAACTTATGCATCGCTGTCGATGGACTGACACCGAATGTAACACATTTCAATAG